AGTATCAATTTTTTATCTTAATCATTAATTTATTAATGACAAAAAATATAATGTATTGGAACATATATTAATGGAAGCTATTTATGTCTTAGATAAGTTATACAGTGATGCTGAAATGAAAGAGAATAATGTACAAAGGGATTTTATGAGTGAAAATTGCATCATTTACTATTAAAACATGTTAATTAAATTTTTTAATTTGCAAAAATTATTGAAATATTTCAATAACGGAGAGCATTTTTTTCGGAAATATTCCATTCGTTTGTGTAGTGAAAATAGCAATGTAATTCGCTTTCTTTCAGATGTTGAAATGCAACTTAAAACTATTAGAGCAACGCTGCCATTGATATGTTTAATATTTTCAGTAATTAATTTATCGAAATTTACGAAGTAGTATACAGTTTTAGTTGTGTGATACCATTTTTATTATCATTATTATACTATTACTGATTATTTCCCGTACTGAATGCTGTGGAAAGTAAACTAAAAAGCAAAAGTAAAGTAATTTGTAAAATTTCATTTCAAATAACGATTAGAAAGTACTTCATGAAGGCGTTCTTCCCCTTAGGAAAATAGTTCTCGAGTGCTTTATTATTATATAATAATTCAATTCAATTCCGTTTAAATAGCGTACAAATTATTGTGCATTACTCAATTAGTATACGCTTAAATGTTTCACGTTGTTAAAAAAATTGTAATTTATTATATTTTTTTCAAACGCAGAGAGATTAATATATTACTTTCAAAACAAATTTAATGTCTTCAGAATTATCTTTTGCAGATAAGTAAGAATTTTTGGTAGATGGGTAATTTACAGGTTAAGAAACACTACAGCTCTTCTCTTTTCTAAAGCAAATCAAGTAAATCCTCAAACGAGTTCTGTGCTTTCAGATTTAATTCTCAATCAGGGATTTTAAAGAATTCCTAACCTGCATTTTATCTGCAATGTGCGAATATTTTCAAAATTTTGATATGAAAAATTGGATAAATATTTATTTACTCATTATTTCAAGTAAAAATATTCACCCATTCCCATTTCCTACTCCCATTGAGTGAAAAAAAGTAATGAATTTCGATAAATTTAATGAAAAAAAATTTCATTAAATTTACGCCGGAAAATTAGCTGAAATATTTGGCCGTTTAATGTTTGAGCATCTGAATGAAACTTTACATTCGTAGCCTGTTGTAAAACTTCCTCCCTTTTTTTCGGACCTTGAATTCATTCAAAGACCCCTAAGCCAAACGGGAAATCTCTCCTTTCCAAATGTGGTGTCATAAACTCTTAGCGTTTCCTTAGAACGGCATTTCGACATGGGGGTGGGGCAAAGTCCTTTCATGCCACAACTGCTCAAGTTACGTCAATGATTTTGTGTTCTTAAGAAAGAAAAGCATGTATTCTGGAGTTAGCAATGAATATTTAGGAATGATCCCCCCCCCATCCAGCTTATTACTGTAAAAAACAGAGGGAAAAAAATCAATCTGCCTTTAACTTTTCCATTTTGTACTGTCAATCGTGCTTCTAAATCCAAAATGTTTCTGTCCCTTACCTTGCCTCTTGATGCGACTGCACAGGTTAAAGTACCATTGTTTTTTACATTGTGAGAATTATACATTCAAACATGCAGATTCTTTCTTATTTAATTTCTTTAAAAATAATACAGGGTGAAATTATTTGGTGGCAACAATTTGAAAAGGGCCTTTTATAGCGAACCAACGAAATACATATTATATTAAATTCTAAGAATCATTCACATTAATAAATTCAATTTCAAATTGAATATTAGGACTGATTTTTGGACTTACGCTACCGGAATAACATAATATGAAAATTACGAACTGCAAATAATATACCATGATTTCTCTTAACTTGCAAAGTTCATTCCAAAGTACCAGAATCCTGCCTAGTTACTTCTTTGATTTATACTTAGAAAATATGTCTACTGATTATTCGATCGTAATGCGAATTATACAGAAACAAATTAATATATAAAATAAGTACTTTATAATAAATAGTTACAATTAATTTCAACTTCCACCGCTTTTTGATTTGGGACTGCAAAAGGAGAAACATTTCCTTTCGGTGGTCGCCTTTAATAATTTTCAGGTTTGAAACTAAGGAATACAAAGGAACTTTTCCTATTTTCCGCTTACTACTATCCCCAAAACTGGGGTAGGTCACGAAGTTATTATATCATAGTCGACTGCTGGAATTTTAACTTTTGCAAACACTTGAATTTAGTTGTTTCAGGTGCTTCCAAGGGCCTCCTATCTGTGTCATACAGAGCATTGCGTCACTGCACCATATAGGTAGGGGGCCCTTAAAAACTTATAAGAAAACGAATTCTATTGTCTACATATACTTAAAGATTCTAAAGTTAAAAGTGAACTGGAGTCAAATCAAGGCTATTTCTCAACTTTAAACAAACGTGTAAAAGGGGTTTAACACAAAATCAAAACATATCAAAATTAAAATAAGAATTTATAGTAGTACAAATTTTAAAAACAAAAATAAAAAGCAAAAGGGAAAAAATACAAGATAAAACATATAAAAATAATAATTAATCTTCTTTTATGTAATTCTAATTCTGAATCCATCAAGGGAAAATGAATTAAAGCTTCTATATATATGTAATGGAATCCGCCTTTTAAGTTTAAACATGTAAATGTAGTTCAGCAGGACATTTAAGGGCCCCCCTAAGTCTTCGGGCCCCTATGCGACGGCATTTCTTGCATACCCTTATTTACGCGACTGGTGAAGAACCCCAGTTAGTGTTATGATTTGGTCATGCATGTCAGCAGATGGTATTGGTCGCCTTCATGTCATCGATCAGACACTGAATGCCAGAAAATACATTGACACTATTCTAGAACCAAAACTTCTACCTTCCATCAGAGATCTCTTTCCCAACAATGCTTCGTTTATTTTTCAGCAGGATTCTGCTCCTTGCCACACAGCCAAAATATCGAAAGAGTGGTTTCGTACAAAGAGCATTAAATTGTTGTCATGGCCAGGAAACAGTCCTGACCTCAATCCTATTGAAAATTTGTGGCAACGTTTGAAAACTCTTGTCCGAATGAGGCGCCCATCAAATAAAAAGGAACTAATTGAGGCTATAATTGTTTCCTGGCATCATGTAATAACAAAATAAGAGCTTAAAACTCTTGTCAGCTCAATGAAACGTCGATGCGAAGCTGTAATCAAAAATAAAGGGTACCCTACCAGGTACTGATAACTCACTGCAATCATCACTATCTAATGTATATCGATAACTATTATCGTTTAACTTTTTCCGTATTGCAAATAATTGAATTTTGTGTTTTGTATTGAATTCAGTAATAAATTATCTTTAAAATGATATATACAAGTTTGCATTTTGTGAAACGTAACGTTTTCTATAAACATACAAAGTTCGAAAACATAAAAATTTCCAAAAGTGTCCACAATTTTAGCCACCACTGTAGGTACACAGCTTAGAATAGCATTTTTTCAACATTTTTATGAAAGTATGTATAGACGCATCTTGAAATATATCCGAGAAATTAAGGCAATTATATTAACATATAAATACATAAATCCAGTACCAGAGAGATTTTGACATTAAAATCAAGAAAACTTATCTTTTCCATGGCAGTTTTTGGAAATTTGTGATTTCTTGGCAAAAACCCTTGATTGGTTGGAGAGTTAAATACGCTTTATAGTAAAGAAAACAGTCTTTAACGATAACACATAAAAAATAGCTTGAATAAAAACAATTGGTTTTATACAAAAATAAGAGTGAGAATTAATTTAAATATAAATATTTAACTACACATAAATATTAGATAATAGTTTGATCTTACTTATTCATTTATTCACTGTCAAAATCAAGTATATAATTTTATACATGAAATATTCTGACCAGCATATTTTCACACTCTCCAGCACCCCAATGAATAATGGAAAATACATCATGATAACCATATTTCTTAAAAACAATACGTCAGGAACTTTTAAATCATAATCATAATCTTCAGTTCTCTGGCAAGAACCCTCGATAACTGCGACAATTTTTATATAAGTTACTAATTAATTTCAGCTAAAAATTCGCAATTTTATATATTTATTTATTTATGGTACTTACTTACTAATGCAATCCCACTTGCATAATATGGCAGTTTTATACAAATTTAAAGGTAAAAGATACTTACCAGATGCAAGCTGCCGATTTTTACGACATTTTTTAAACAGATCCCTACACTATCAATATTTATTTAAATTGACAAACACTGTCAATATATCTAAAAGAATGCCAATTTAAAATATAAATTTTATTTTTTAAATGTGGATAATGTGATCCATTAAAAAAATTAAACACCCACATTTTTCACAAAATGCTTCTGTCATTTTTTTCACTATTCTTCCCTCCCCCATTTCCACTTAAAAAAAAAAAAAAAAAAGAATTGTACAAACACGGCACTGTGCACCAGATATCTACCAAACACATTTCATTATTGCTCTTTAGTGATTTGGGGAAAAAATGGCCTAGTCCTGCAAAATTTTAAGACAGTTTATTACATTGCTGGTCCAAAAGACATTTAAAAGTGACTTTAAAAAATAATATTTCACAATTTATTTATGAAAACTGTTGGAACTTAGAATACAACAAGAAGAATACATATGAAGCTGGTGATACTGCTTGAGTGTAAGATTAACAGCATGATTGCTTGAAGAATGGTTACATGTGAGGTTGCTAGACTTGTCACATTCTGAAAATTTGGTGATTTCTAATAAGGTAGTAGCGATAATATGCAAGTATCATATTTACTTTAATTTAATTGGCAATTTAAGATAACCAAACAAAAATATTAAAATTTATAACATTTATTCTTATAACTAAATTTTTTTACTATTTCCACAGTTTTATTAAATATTTTAATACAGCAGTTAAAATACTGAATAAAATCCACTGTATAATTTCAATTTTTTATAACTCAAGAGTAGCATTAAAAATTGTTGCTACCTTTAGTCTTACAACAGCAGGCACTGACAAATCAAGCATGTCAATTAACTTCGTAGCTTGCTCTCTGAATTGTTCCATTAAATCCGATAACTCAGTATTTGGTTCATCAACCTCTGAAACAGATATATTACAAGTAAGTTTTTTAAGAAATCATGTTTTATTTGATCTTCTCCATTAGAGAACAACACACATCAAACAATTTTCTCTAAAAAGATACATGCCCCAACTTGATGATACTTCCAGTGTAAAACATACTTTCAACATCTGCTCATTTCAACTGCAATTAAAATTTTGCTGACTGTAAGAAACATTTCTCTTAGTGTAGCTATTTCAAATATTAGAGAATGAAACAGAATTACAAATTTATAGATAATTATAACTTTGATAATAAAAACTCGGTTATAAGAGAGAACATCTTATTAATTTAAAGATGGCCAATACACAATACTGATGCATATATCTTTCTACAGAAAGTTTCCAATGTATGTTGTTTTACAGAGAATGATAACATTTTGTTTTTCATATGTTTAAAAATGTAAAAAAATATTTAAAAGGATAAAAAAGTGTTGACTAACCCGAATCTTCACCAGGTAACCTATCTAACTGACGCACACTAGCAATTAAATATGGCGATTTTTCAGTAATTCTTTCAAGTTTAAATCTACACAAGCCTGTCACAAGTAATGTGTAAGCTGGACGTGGCCAATTTGTACCAGTAACTTGAATAACAATACCTGCTGTTCCTATAGAATGCAGGACGTTGCCATCATCCTATTAAAAAAAATAAATAAATAAATCTTATATGCTGAATCTTTTTTCAGAAATAAACGGGCAGCTGCAATTTTTTTTCCGGGGGGGGGGCAGGGGGGCATTTACAGATTACAACATAATGACACACATTAATGAGAAAAAGTGAATATAATGTTCCATATATATTCTATACTTTTTTGCAGATAAAATTTTTAGATAATTTGCTTTAGATTTTTAAATTACTTTACAACAAAGATAATTGTAATAAATAGCAAAAAATAGGGTCTTGATGAATTTTAGCTGTAATTAATTACATAGAACACATCTCTTTATTCATCATTTACCACTTTATTCAAAACTACATTTCATATACTTTTAGTTCACTCTTTGAACATATTTCACTGTAAATGATACTCTTTATGTCATATTATTACATAGTGCATTTGTATATACAGGTTATATAGTGCATGTATATGTATTTATACATACAGACAGTATTATTTAATTTTAATATGCATTTACAAGTGATATGTAGTTTGTATATTAGTTACAGTTTTAAAGAAAAACATATTTAAGAGCTAAAAATAAATACCAGATTTTCTCTATCATGATTTGTAGTTTCTGAATACATATATACACAGGAGAGCCAAAGCATGACCACCTGCTAAATAACACGTTGGGTGAACTCTGGCCTGTAAAACAGCTGCAACTCACCTTGGCATGGATGCCACAAGTTCTTAGTATATGACTGGAGGCAGGTTGCACCAAATGTCTAAGCAGCTGGGTCATGCAAAGTCAAGATATTCCGAAATGGTGATGTCTGAGCTCTGAGCAGCTGCTCCATGACATCCTAAATGTGCTCTATCAGGTTAAGATCCGAGTACATCGAGATTAAATACTACATTTAGTAAGGAATGATAACGATAGTGCTGACAGATCAACTTCCAGTTCATTGCGCGCTGCAACGTCCCCCCCCCCACGCAGAGCAATGCGAAATTGATAAACAGATTTCGGAACAGTTAGATAAACAAAGGATATGCCTTTATCCATTTTTTGTAGTAATTCGTTTTTTGTTTGATGGACATCGAAACATACTTTCGTTTTCTAGATCATTTGGAAGCTCCAGCATCGGAAATTCTATTTGACATAATCGAAAGTTCAAGCTTACTTTTATAAAATTGCTCTTACAGTCTGCAAAAAATAATAAGCTGGATCCAATTCGAAGATTAAGGAACAACGAATCATCAACATTAACTGAAATAGATAATTAGATAATTTTAGCTTATGCCGTCCGTTATACATTACATGCACACGCGAAAACGTATTCTGCGCTTGCGCAGACGCATATGCGCAGTCGTAAATGTCTTGTGCGCACATGTAAAACGTTTATGCGCATGCACAGAAAGATTTTAGTTTTGAAGTCCGGATTATAGATCATTCCGGATTATGGGTGTCCGAATTAACGACTTTTGACTGTACTGTTAAAATACAATCATTTTTTTTCTTTCATATTTTATATCTTATATGTATATATAAATGTATATACATTTATGACAAATATCATGGCCGCCTAAAGTTAACTAATCTAAAAATGCAGAATACTTTGAAATATATATTTTCACTCTTGAAAATAAGGCAACTACATCATATTCTCTCAATGCATTTATGGATTTCCAAACACTTTTATGAAACTAATCCAATGTTTAATTTTAAATATATTAAGGTATAAGAAGTTCTTGCTTCATTTTGAAGGCTTTACTGACTAATAGCCTCTTACCCCTCAGTGGTTCAATATAATATATATATATATATACAAAGTGATTCTAAATTGTTGTTTTTAGAAATTAAGAAGGGTGATAATACTCATCCAGATGAGCAATAATTACCATAGAACATAGGGTCCCATTCCACTCTGAGAGACAGAAAAGAGGAATATTAGAATTTCAACCTGAACTTACAACTGTGTTGAGAGAGTGAATGAACGAGACCAAAAGTTGCACAATAAGTTTAGTAAAAAATCTCACAGAGAATGCACAAAATGGATAAAACCGAAAACTTGGCTTTCGAGTGTTAATTCGAGCTCAGACTTTGAGGGCAAACACTTAAATACACATCTGTGGCTGGCAAGGTCTCAACCTCACAAACAATTGCAAGAAGTTAATTATCTAAATTATTAGGGAGAGATTATCTATCAGGGAAAAAAACTGCAAATATCAAGGTAGCCAGTTTTTCCACCCCTTCGCCATCTTCTATCCTGTGCTTCTGAACTTAACTGTGGTGTGCTCATTCTACTTGAAGCGCCCTTTTATGAGACACGAAGTTCTGACTGCCAGAACACAGCATGAACGTTTCATGCTAATCTCAGCATACAGTGGAAATTGAAGTTAGTTGATTCAGTCCTTGATTAGATAATTAACTTGTTGCATTGTTTGCAAGGTTGAGACTTTGCCAATTAAATATGTGCATTTGAGTATTTGCCATCAAAGTCTGAGCTCAAATTAACACTCAAATGCCAAGTTTTCAGTTCTATCTGTTTTGTGCACTCTGCGAGTTTTTCACTGAACTGATTGTGCAACTTTTGGTCTCGTTCATTCACTCTCCCAACAATGTTGTAAGTTCAGGTTGGAATTCTAACATTCCTCTTTTCTGTCTCTCAGAGTCAGATGCGACCCTATGCTCTATGGTAATTATTGATTATCTGGATGAGTACTATCACTCCTCTTAATTTGTAAAAACAATTTAGAATCCTCCTGCATATGTTACTCTGAAAGATCGAAATTGGAGAAAGTCGACACATACCATATACATTGGTCCAAGACCAAATATTTCATTACATTCTTGTACATTCAGACCAACACCGGTGTATGTCAACAAGCACAAATATACTGTGATGGAGGTCAAAAAGAGAAGTCGAGGTCAAAAAAGGGGCGACAGTGTGTCGCCAAATCCTTTGCTCTGCTCCGACTGAAGTTATGTGGCATGTATTTGTTATACTCAGGAAAAAAATCACAGATACACTATGGTGGAGGTCGAAAAGAGAAATCGAGGTCAACAGAGGGGCAACAGTCTGTTGCCAAATCCTTTGTTCTGCTGCGACTGAAGTTATGCGACATGTATTTGTGAAAATCTGGAACACTGTTTGTCAGTCAGGATATATAGAATATGTTAACTGCATGAATGAACGATAATGATACAAATAAATGGTCAGATGGTTTTTTCTTTGTTCAGTTTGCCAAGGATACTACATATCATGAAGGAATACGCCAAAGTCCTTATGAAGTCATGTTTTTTTTTTAAACCAAGAAGAGGCTTATGCAAGGTTTGATGGTATGCACAACGTTTTCTTAAATTTTGTTTTTTTTTATCTGATACCCTAATTTATATTGAATGGATACTGCAGTGAATCATGAACTTTTTTTTTTGAAAACTTAAATGCATTAATTGCAAGTAAACGAGAAGACAATTGTGTTTATTTTTCACAAGAAAAGTACTCTAAAATACTTTCTGAAGCGATTTCTCCAAAAATTAAATGCAGCACACCTTTGGATTACAGACGATTAAAACATTTTAAAAGTTAATGATGAAAATAATTAATTGTACCCTTAAAACCAGGAGAAATGAATATCCAGCATTATGTTACTAATGATGAAATGTTCAGCATACTCTTTGAAAATTGCACTAGGATAAGCCACGGAGGAAGAACACGTATGCTTAAAGATTTGCAAGGTAAATACAAAAATATTGCATATGAAGTTGTAACGTTATATTTAAATTTGTGAACAATGTCAAATGAAGCATAGTGTACCTAAGAAAGCTACTGTTGTGAAACCAAAGTCAGTTCTGAGTTCAAGACAAGTTGATCTGATAGACCTGCAGTCACACAGGGATAATGAGTATAACTTCATAATAGTGTATCAAGATCATTTAACTAAGTTTCTCCAACTACGACCATTGAAAACTAAGACAGCTGAAGAAGTAGTGTATCATCACACTCAAATATTTTTAACATTTGGTGCTCCAGCTATATTGCATTCAGATAACGGTAGGAAATTCAGTAATCAAGTCATATCCGAACTATGCACTATGTGGAAAGATGTTAAGATAGTTCATGGAAAGCCTCGTCATAGTAAAACACAAGGCACAGTTGAAAGGGCTAATCAGGATATACAGAATATGTTAACTGTATGGATGAACGATAACAATACAAATAAATGGTCAAATGGTTTGCCCTTTGTTCAATTTGCCAAGGACACTACATTATCATGAAGGAATATGCCAAAATCCTTATGAAGTCATGTTTGGCATTAAACCAAGAAGAGGCATAGCATTGTCTTTTCTGCCTGGCAAACAAATCACAAATATTGAAACCGAAAAACAACTCTAAAAAGTTGCTAATACTTTTGAAACTGAAGAAAAGAAACTGTTAATACTTTTGAAGAAACTTTGAGCAGTGGCCATACGGAAAACCATATTCCAAAGAAAAATATTGAAAAGGACATGCAACCTACCACATCTCCATATCAAGCCCTGATTGAATAACACAAGTTAATTTCTATCAAAAGACTGGCCATGAAAGAGAATATTCTACTGCAAGCAACAAAAATGTTACAAACCTTAAAAAAAAAGTCTTGCTGAAACTGGTGATATCGTACAAATACAAGTCCCTGATGTCAATTGTGGTCGTATAGATGCCCGAAATGTGTTGGCAGTTGATTGTTGGAATAGAAAACTCCAACTTTTATAAACTAGCAAATAAAAATGGCACCTTCAAGCAGTTTTATACCTGTAATCAGTTCATAATTTGTTAAGAAAAGTTACTTTCTATAGATGAGATTTGTTCTCAAGAAATACTTCTGAAAGAAGCAGCTGCAGCTAATTAAAGAAGTGGAGGGCAAGGCCATACATGCTGTCACTGCAAAAGGAAGTGTTCTACAACTAAATGCAGTTGTAAAAGCAAGGGACTCTTGTGCAAATCAAAATGTCATAAAAGTTCAAGTTGTTGCAATAAATAAGATTTCAATCACATAAGGTTTATATTATTATTATTTGTCATATAGAATGTACTGTTTAAAAAAAGTTTATTTACATGTGGTGTTACTTTAGTTTTTTCGTATTTTGACATATACAGCATAAATGCAAAAGTCAAAAAAAAAAAAAAAAAAAATTACTTCATTGGCTAAATTTAAAACTAAATGCTTAATATTTATCCAAGCACAACTGCTGTCATTATTAAGAAGGCAAGTAATATCAAGTAGCCCTTCTCATATTAGAATCTAAAGCTACATGTTCTGCAGTGAAAACGCCTCTACAGAGTTATGAACAACTCTCCTCACCAGGAATGGTTACTCCTCTCAGTACCACAGGCAAAAACTTTACATCACCCTTGTGAAGTTTTATCGCGCCTGAAATACAGAGGACAAAACGCATATCTCCGACATATTCAACATCTACCATTAATGCATTGTGAATGTCAACATTGTTGGTGTAAGTCAGAAATATGGATATTTGGCAAATATTTTGGACGAACACCAAGCTATGTGACTATGTGAATGTCGACATTCACATAGTCACTTGGTGTTTATCTAAAATATTTGCCAAATATCCTTATTTCTCGCAGGTCATAGACTTTTTAATTTACTTTTATTTTATTTAAAATATATATAAATATATTGGGAGTCGGAGGACCTCATCCTGATATCACTGAGTTGCAAGCAATTCCTGATCATGTGATAACTATTCCTGATAATGTGCAAGCTGGCCCAGACAATCACTCCCCTCTGCCAAACTGGACACTTTCATGCATAAATGCAGGAATATTCCATGTACTAGGTTCTCTCCAGGTGAGAATCCACCTATTGTCAGGATGTAACTGATCCCTGAAGACCACACTGCTCCACTCGTATCATTCCTATCTGAGATACTCATGCCCCCACCTTCTGCAGGCAGTCCGATGGTCCAGTGTCAAGGAAACGCAAACCACAGGTCTGTGACAAATGCATATGATGGACAAATGCATATGATGGAGTCGGTTTTAAACAGTTTGATCAAAACTCTAGTACCAAATGACATTTCATATTCTGACCATTAGTGTTAAATAATGAATCTCGTTTTGTGTTGTTGCAGGTGTATGACCTTGACCCAATCTTCTGTAAACATTTCCAGTTTCCAAAAATAGATTCCTTAGTCTGGAAAGGACACTTTGAGAAACTCCTAAGGCTACTGCTACAACAGAGTGCCTTTGAATTGCCTCTAAACCTCCAAAGACCCTCCAGGCTACTGATTCAACAAAGTCATAATGCTGAGACAAAGTATTCACCATTACAAAAAAATCAATATGTGTCAACTGTTTTTAATCTCCTCCTACAGAAGAATTGCTGCAATTTGCTTTTCACTCTTTATCAAAAACGCTTAGATTTCAATGGCACAGACAAAATTTGCATATTCCCAACTTTGTAAACATCTTTTTTAACCTCTTTTATGTAGTTCTTGTCAAAAAAAAAGTATCAATTATATGATTATTTCACATCAAACTCGCAATATACCCTCACCAATCTGAGCAGTGTATGTATGTATGTATGAGAATATATGTCTTGAAATGAAAGTTTTGAAACATATTTTTCTGAAAATTGAAACTGTACAATTTTACAAATTTTATATGTATTTTATCTTAAAGTTGGCAATCACTCCATAACATACCTCGTCAGAAGAATGCAATTCCCTAGGTACAACTCCAATAATAGCACTACTGAGGGTACTTCGACTAAGTAAATGGTTCCTCACCATATTCATGCTGTCCAAAAGAAAAATAATAACATATCATAAAAATTAAATTTACAATAAAAATAACATTCAAAAAGAATAAACATGGCTCTCCATAACAATCGCAGAAAGCCATGAGACAATAAGAAACTTACATTGTAGATAATTTAATAATAAATGAGCGACGAAATATTAGATTGCATTATTATTAATATTAGATTTGCCACAGCAAGTAGTAATGACTGTATATAACCACAATGGCACAGGATGCAGTAAAAATGGTTATTTAAAAAATATTCACCCATGTTATGTTTTACTGCATTTCAAAATTCATACTAAATAACTAGTGGTAAAGCTAAAAAAATCACCATCATGCAAAAACATCCTTGATTTTCCTGAATGGAAAATAACTACAGTCAAAAGTCGTTAATTCGGACACCCATAATTCGGAATGATCTATAATCCAGACCTCAAACCTAAAATCTTCCTGCGCATGCGCCGCGTTGACGCAATGCGCGCAAGACATTTACGACTGCGCATATGTGTCTGCGCAAGCGCAGAATACGTTTTCGCATGCGCGTTTAATGTATAACGGACGGTATAAGCTAAAATTATCTAATTATCTATTTCAGTTAATGTTGATGATTGCGCTGTTCCTTAATCTTCGAATTGGATCTGGCTTATTATTTTTTTGCAGACTGCAAGAGCAAAAGTAAGCTTGAACTTTCGATTATGTCAAATAGAATTTCCGATGCTAGAGCTCCCAAAGGATCTAGAAAACGAAAATATGTTTCGATGTCCATCAAACAAAAAAAGAATTGCTACAAAAAATGGATAAAGGCATATCCTTTGTTTATCTAACCATTCCGAAATCTGTTTATCAATTTCGCGCTGGGGACGTCGCGGCACGCAATGAACTGGAAGTTGATCTGTCAGCACTATCGTTATCTTCAGGGCAGATGTTTTTATTTTATTCCACTTATAATTCCTTACTAAATGTAGTATTTAATCTCGATGTACTCCGTCTTTGATATGATTTAAATCAAATTCCTCATCATTATAAATATCACGAATACAAATCAAATAGTTTTCTGGTTGCAATTTTCTAATTTCGGCTATGCGTAAGGTATGCTTTACGCATGCGCGCGTTGAAAGAAATGTTTAATAAAGTAAACAAATAAATATTAAGCTTCTTTTTTGTAAATTTTGATACCTACCCTTTAGATCAGAATTGCTCATTATTTTATAAATTACGGTTTCATATTTTTAATTTTATAATTTCTGCATGCCATCTTACCAGATTTAAACTGATGATCTATAATCCGGAAAAATCGATAATCCCGAATCGCCGAAGTTCCGACGAGTCCGGATTAAAGACTTTTGACTGTAGTATGTTTCCATTAAAACTATACCACTTGGCACATTTTTTTGTTGTTGTTGTTGTCATTGTTTGTTTTTTCGTTTGAGCATATTTCCTTGGAGCGAGGTGTCGTAAGTTTGATTTGGCTTCTTTCCTGGATGGATTCTTTTTTACTGCAATAAATTCCACTTGCCAAGAGATGAGAAGAAACTATTCTGTTTCTTTCCAAGAAAAGCTGCATTCAAAGAACTACCTCATGCATTTAAAAACGTACCTCAAGTCAGCAAAAAAAAGTAATCTGAATACAAGCATTGTCTGTTACCATTGCACACTCTTTTTGCTACTACCATACGATTCCTTTACTTGTGGTATCTGGATTTAACATCTTTAAGTTTTGCAAATCATAACATAATGGTTGATTAGAATAATTACATAACAGAGGTACATAAAAATTCCTTGTTATCCTTAATTCCTTGTTAAGTCAAAAATTGATGGATGGAACAAAATTATCGAAACTAATGATCTGATCATTCATATGTTTCTGATCATTACGTTCCACTTAATATTAAGCCAATTGCATCGGAAAAGAAGTATAAAAATCTACCAATATGGCACCAAAAAGTACCAATATTAATGAAAAGCACTAACAGTCATCTATACCACTGATGGCTAATTAGTGGGCCTTAGGAATATAATCTCTCCAAATCTTTTCGGTGGCCTACGGTTAACAAAACTTAATTCTTATGACTACAGATTTTTTTTTTTTTTTTTTTTTTTTTATTCACATATACTTTCCTATAATCTACTGACAACATGGTATTCACAGATAAACAGTACACTTGGGGATTTCTATCAGTGCATAGCTGACTTTGGAGAATCATTTACTTTCTATGAATGCCATTGTATTGTCATTAAGTTTCACATTTCATCTTGGTACTATTTGGTACTTGGCTTGTTAATAAAAATACCATGGTTGTCAAAGTTTCTTCCACAGTGGAAAAAAAACTGGTTGGAAGAAACTAATTCTTTGATTTATTTTAAATTAATACATATGTTTTATAATTCACTTAATTATCTTCATGTTTTTTTGTTTTTTTTGTATGCCTGCAATAACCTTTTGTGCTAACACATACGTATGTATGTATATTTGTGTATTTTCTACGAGATCTGTTTTTAGATATATGAATTTAGACAGATTCTAAAATTAAATTTCAATCCATAGCAATAGCAAAAACAGCAAAATAATTATTTAGGAAGAATTTAAAAAAAATAATTTAAAAGAATTAAATTACAAAATTACATCTCAATCATCATAAAAAGCATAACAAAACAGAATATTTTTTGCTATAGAATGGATAACAAACTTTATAATTATGAATGAATAATATTCTATAAAATCTCTAATCCTGCAGAATTTTAATATCAGGGTCATGTTATACTTCAGAAATGACACATTCCTTTATACCATTAAAAATTTAGCATATTACAAATGCTATCCGGATAAAGTGAAATTTTGACAATAGCTTATTCTTAACATGACTGGTCAGTTTCTCTCAGAGTGGAAATAAATTGGTCAGAAGAAACTGTTTTTTTTTTATTTCTTATCATATTTATATTTCATTTGGCTCTAGTGTAGAATTGGGTGCCCCTTCGATCAACAACAATTTTTCGTAAAATTTTGGCGATGAAATCTCATTTCTGGTTACCATGATAGTTTAACTTTGTTTTAGCCTCCTGATTTTTTTTAAAATAAAAATAGATTGATGTGTACATGGACAAATTTAAAGCAGTGCGCAATGCCTAGTTTGTGCAATTCTGGGATTTTTTTTTTTTTTAAGTGAAACCAGATCGATGTGTACATGCACATAGAGTTTATGCAATTCTTTGACTTAAAAACTTTCATCGACGTATGTCGATGAAAAACCTTGTTCACCTAGGTTTACTTGTTAAAAAAACGCATAAGTTTCTTTTCAATACATCTAAACATCGGAATTTCATATTAATAACAGGAAGAGGAAAAATACAATTAACAGATTGCGTAACTAGCTAGCTATGCAAGACGTTGGGAACATCAAAGAAAATCGACAAACTCGAGAATTTTTAAACAATTTATGGAATTTGTAAAACGTTAGATATACAGGATCCAGATAGCAAAAGAATTAAGAAAAATTATTACAATTACGATAACACTTGGAGTCATGTCAACAAACGTAGAATGACGGACTGCCGGATTAAAATAAACAAATTTTTACTATATTTATAAAACATCACAATAATTATTTGTCTGCATTTTGAAATTATTGAATTTGAAATTATTTTGGTTTTGTGTAGCGGCCATCTTGAAATTGTGTCTTCCTGGCACCGATCTTGGCGTCAAAAAAGAAACATCAAAACACAAGGGGCACCCAATTGTAAACTTTTACCTTTCATTTATACATAACCCTATTATATTACCAATGAATTTCAATTTTTTCATTATAAGTAAATTTAGCCTCCTTTATATGCTCACATTAACATTGATAATATGTATGTTTTACATATGCAGGTACTTTTTTTCATAAAATTAGGCTAAGTAACAACTTTGATGTGGATTAAGACAATCAATTTCAAGGGCAAACAGGTATATTTTCCTCTTTACCAGGAGCAAAGGAATCTGAAGATGGCAGATATATTAGTTACATAGTAGGATTGTATATTTGGGCAGATTTCTTTCCTCCTGATGAAGGACTTGCACTCATTCTTATAACAGTCTTAATTAAAGTCTATGTTAAACACAATATTGTTGCTTTGCCTAATTTTATGATTTTACTTTGGCATGTTTCTCTTCTGTCTTGATGTATTCATTTTGCTATGAAATCTGCTTTTACATTTGTGAACTTGGATAGATTTTTTTAACTGTATTCCAATTCTATACAGTAATAAAAACAGAAAAATTAATATTTTTCAGAAAGAACAGAAAACACAATAGAATCTACATCATCATTAAGACAATGTAATGTATTGAAATGAACATACAATTATCTGTGATAACTTTCAATGGATAAAACAAAAGAAAAACTTTACACTAATCCACTAAGTTCTCTTACCCCTGAACATTCACATTCAGACAGGTGAAAGTTTTGTTGAAATGTTTGGCATTCAATGTTTCTTGTCAGAATTGCTTTGTTCTAAAAATACATCACAATAATTATTGTCTGCATTTTGAAATTATTACTTGCTCAGCAAAATACAGTATCACTTCCATATCTGAAGTGAACATGGCAAGGCACTGCAAATTAATGACAATTTCTGTTAGAAATTTAGTTATTCATCATTGGAAAGATGGTAGAAGCATTCAAAATATCCAAATAATATCTTTGAAGTAAGGCAATCAACTATCACTGATTCTCTGATGTTATAAAATGATGAATAGAGTGGAACTGGTGAAAATGCACTGAAGTCTTGACCACATTCCAAACTAACACCAAGGAATCAAAATTTATCTATGAAAAAATTACACAAGCTCCAAAAATTAGCACTCTTAAATTTGTAACAGATTTAGGAGAGCGGTTTGCAATTAAAGTTAACTCTGAAACTGCTAAGACAATTGTCAGGGCATATGGATACAATGGGCAAACATCAAGAATGCAAATTCTTTAAAACACACACATTAATTACAAAAAGAAAAATTAAGAAATCAGATACAAGATTTCTAAACAGGGCATTTATACCAGATCTCAAATATTCAATTATTGGAATTTATTCCCAATTTTAAGAAAAATGCAGTAATACGTCGATGAAACCTTGTTCACCTAGGTTTACTCGTTAAAAAACGCATAAGTTTCTTTTCAATACATCTAAACATTGGAATTTCATATTAATAACAGGAAGAGGAAAAATACAATTAACAGATTGCGTAACTTAGCTAGCTATGCAAGACATTGGGAACATCAAAGAAAATCGACAAACTCGAGAAATTTTAAACAATTTATGGAATTTGTAAAACGTTAGATATACAGGATCCAGATAGCAAAAGAATTAAGAAAAATTATTACAATTACGATAACACTTGGGGTCATGTCAACAAACGTAGAATGACGGACTGCTGGATTAAAATAAACAAATTTTTACTATATTTATAAAACATCATGGTTATGTTACAAAATGTCAATAAAATGTATCGTAATTACTTTTTCTCTGATGAAACAGGTATCCGAATGGATGCACCTGGAAATAATACTCCATCAATTAGTAAAAGCGGAAGCCTCCGCGGCAACTTGATGTGAGAGGTAGCCATCTTTGAAGCTAATACAACGCCCTCTATCGAATTTAAGAGATCAATCATCCCTCATTTGTAGCGCCGTGGTTTCTTCGGCTGGGAACAGAAACCGAAACGTTGCAAGCAGCCGCACTAACCTTTCGATAGAAGCTCGTAGTGATAATGAGAGCATTTGTTCAAAAAACCTGATTCACCTGACCGTGCGAGCTATCATGCACCAATGAGAAAAGCGAAATGAAATCACATGCCGTAAGCGTGCTTTGTTTTCGATATCCATGTTTATGGTTCGCTTTTCTCTCCGACTATTTTGCGGCATCAGCAAATTGTCATTTTGGGGGAAATGGAGATCTGCACTATGGTTTTCATTAATTCTTTTTTTCTACTTTATTTGTTTATCATTCGTATGTGAGTAATGTAAGTAATCACATATGCCTTTTAACTGTAATATTTGGCTAATCTTCCATCTTCCAAAGGAATAGGTTTCTGAGTTGTTCACTGCGTTTTTTCATGTTGCTGCGCTAAATTTAAGAAATTTCGCAGTTTATGCCGATGTGTGTGATATATATATATATTTAAAAAATTCTTTCCCTCTTTTGGGGGGGTTAAACTATAATTTATTTTTCCTGAAAAAAATTCATTTATTATCATTATTATTTGTTTTTATGTAAAGAAATGTAATATCTGAAGAAGAAAACATGGATGAGTTACTGTATTTTTCAGCGTAACTCGAAATTCTAGGCCAAAACAAATCTAAAGAGGTCTAAACGACTTAAACCGCGAGTATGCAAAATCATAATGACTTCTATTTATATTTATTAACAAAGTTAATCATTATATTGAATAAAACTAAATTATTATATATTTATCATTCCAAATAAAATATCAAGTAACAGAATATATTTTGCTTCATAATCGAAAAAAAAGTATTATATGAAAATTTTATGAAGAGAAAAAATAATAATGGCAGCGATCTGTGCTGGTGAAACATTTATAAACAGAGGTATATAGATAAATCGTTTTTTAATTCGCTAATTTTTAAATCAAAGAGTCAGATTTAAAAATCATCCTTTATAAATTGTAAACTATTTAAATTTGTCGAAATGTGCAATTTATTTAACCATTGAGCTTTTGACCGCACATACGAAAGACTAGACTAGATCTGTTTTGAGTTAATTGCAGTTTTGTGAGACAATTAATGTTCTAAGCGATTTTTTTTCTGATGTAATTACAGTAAATATTGCCTTATTCATTATTATTTAAGGTATTTAAGTTTAAAATCTAGATTGATAGTCTTCGCACATTAAAAATTAAAACGCTCATTCGTATTATTTTTCTCTTCTGCTTTTTCTATTAGATCGAGTCCTCCTCCTGAGCAGAATGGTGCATCACTAGAGTACCTAGGTGCAATGATCTACCTCTGTCGAAAAATAAATTATTTCGAATGCATCAACATAAATGCAAAATTAAAAGTTCTATGGATTATTCTACTTTTATAGACTTTTTATGCAAAAATTTATAAAATTAGAGAAAATTTCATAAATGTCACAAATCCATAAGGTGATCATGTATATTAGGCACTAGTTAAAAATATCGAGCTGGCGACATGTGATGAACATGAGAAAAATACGAGCACAGGCAGTTATGAAAATATAGGGCACAAAATATATAATTTTAACATAAACACAAAATAACATCATAAACTGATAGCCCAAATTAGTCAAAGTTCCAGTACAAAATTTAAGTTATATACATATTGAAAGATGGTTCAAAAGAAGTCGAAAATGCAAAAAGTCTAATTTCCACTTATACTAGATAAATTTACACTAAAAATCTCTTCTAATATGTTAAAGAAGACAAAAATGTTTTCTATGGGAGTAGGTGCAGCACGAGTTTCATCCAATCGATTTGTGATTATTTTCATTACTTAAAAAATAGAAAATTCACTAAAAATTTTATTTACTTCACTAATGACATGCAAAAAGTTCTTAAAAGTAGAGGAGATATTATTTGTAGAGTTTTTATTCTGACTTCTAATGCTGGGTTTAGCTGCTGTATCTAGTCTTTTCTTTCCGTAAATCATCTATACCAATGAATAATACCCTTCAAACCTTTGACATTCTAATGGGATTCAGTCCATTTAAGAACACAAATTATTTATGCCATGCGCCTGATAATGCACCAATTTTGTTCATTTTCTTAAAATTCACTATTCCATAGCATTTTCAAGTTTTCGTCAGTCATATTTCCTATAAGTAAGGTGCATTTTGATTTCGGCATACTTTTTAACACATTTCCCCCCCCCCGCTTTCTTTTTGCTCTAGAATAAGTTCTACGTTTTACCCAACTTTTTAGATGCTACAAACAGACGTTCGAATTATTCTCTGCATTACTGATTATTTGGATGAAATCTCGAGGTTGATTTATTTAGCCTGTCAACTTGTACGCCGGATAATACTATATATTCTGCCCATAACTGCGCGAAAAAAAGCAGCCTTTCTATTTGGTCACTGGCATGGTCGATTGGTCACTGGCATGGTCGATTGGTCACTGGCATGGTCGATTTCTATTTGGTCGATTGAGAATATATCTTAATTTTACAAATATACATTTTTAATCATTCATTTTCTTTATGTTAAACGCTTTAAAAACACATAACTTTTGAAAAACACAGAATGATTCTCTCTAAAAGACTGCAATTTTTAATGAAATGTTACGAACTGGTAGAAGTAAAAAAGGCTTGGTGCTGTAAATCGGCATAATGTGTGAACGATTTTGGTGACTTTCCCCAATTGTTTAAATCGCAAATTTTTTTTGTGTAAGATTTACAGTCTTTCCTAAGTATTAGTACTTTTTCTATTTCCATATAAATTTTCTTCCTATTAAGGATGAAATGCATTTAAGAAATAAGGAAGAAAGACATAACAAACTAAGCAGTAAAAGATAAAAATAAGAAACTTTTAACAAGTACCTCTTTCGCTAAATGTGAATACATACAAAGAATCTCTTTATACACTCCTCTTGCTACTAAAAACACTTTTATTCGGTGCACAACTGAAAGATTAGGTTAACTGAAGGCGGTAAAATACATGAGGGCTATCTATCTATAAGTACGGATGCCTTCTTGAAGGACTTTCAAAGGAAAGCCAGCTCATATTTACGTTCCACGTAAGAAAAAACACGAAAATCAACCAGCAGTCAGGCAGTTCTCATGGGATTGAACACAAGGTTTTCTTTTTTTTTTTTTTTTTTTTCTTTCCTCGATGGCGGGCACTTGCCTATAACGGCAATGGTCACTCCAAACTGGCGCAAAAATGGCACTGGCACAAAAATGGCCAGAAGTAGTGGCCATTTTTGTGCAGGCACCTAATAGGCAACTACCGCTATCTCCTATGATAGGGATAGACAATTTTACATCCATGCCTTCGCCGGAATTCGAACCAGGCCCTTCGGTATTACACTCGGGCTCCCCTAACCACTTTACTGTCTGGGCGGCGGATAGAACACGAGTAGAACTCTCAGTATTCAGCAATCTTAACTACTCGAACTACTCGACCGATTGTGGGGCACAAAATTGCAAGAGATGAATTAAAAGCATCATTAAATTAAAAGTTTTTCACTTTTGTTTACAAATTACCCGTCAATAAGTCACTTTTTAATCAGCCCTAAAAATGACGTATTGTTGAGGTCTGACTGTATTTCATTGAACAGGGGGTGATTGATATGTTAAAATGTGAAAAATTCTTGGATTATTTTTTTTAATTCAAATTTTTTTATAGTTTGTAATTAATTTTACGGGATCGATTATGTAAAGAGCCGTGGATGAAGCCGGTGAAATTATACAGCTATACCAGGATGTAAAATTTTCAAAATTTAGGGCCACAGAATTCAAGCGCTGCAAAGATTGCAAGGGCCGGCATAATGCTTAGTCCTGATAATGAAATATAAATACATTGATGTGACAGAAAACTGACTCATACTTGTATTACATAATGAGAAATCTGCAATGGGAATGGAATAATAAATTTCATTCAAAAATAATATATCATTTCATTGCGAATGAAATAATGCTAGAATTCATACAAAAGCATTCGTATAAGTTTACTTATACACTCACTTTGTCACCAAAAATAAAACTTTGGATTCAACTATTAGAATTTTAGAGTTTTTTTCTCCCATATAATGCCACTTGTAGGCACAAATTAATTCTAAAAAACATCAGTTTTATACTATTCTTCTAATGCCAGTTGACAAGAACGGAAAGTCTCTGCCTTTGAAACACGCGTATATCTCAGTATACGTTTTGCTAAGTACAGACATTGTAAATAGGAATTCTGTTACTTATTCGTATGAATTCTATTATTTACAAATTGCTGCTCGAAAATTTTATGTTTAGCTAGACAAAAGGAAGTATTTCAGATACGAGAATGTCCGTAAGAGTTGAAATAATACTAAAGTGTATGAGGTATGAGATTATATCAAAATTTACAGTTTTTATATAATGTCCCCATGCTTTTCATAATTGCTTACAATTTCAAGAAAATTAATTATTATTACTTCACAGACCTTTTCAAATATTCTGTTTTCATTTCGTTTATATCATATTAAAACCGTAGAATCAAGTCCATGTTAAAGCAGAAACTGTTGGCAATTCATGAGCTTGCATGTATGTTCTAAATTATTACTATAGTTTGCATAATCAGACTAAAGGCAAATTAGCTACGAAAATGCAATGAGCATTTCTTTATGGCATTTTGCAACAGGATTTATCAACATTGTACGGTTCTGTGCAACTTTAAAATGTTAAAGTTACTAAAACTTTAGTCAGACGACTTATCTTTCTCTCTACCTTCTAACTCTAAAATTCACAAATTTAAAGTGAATGTTTAGAATAAACCCTATTTCTTAGCATTTCAATTTGAGGGTTTCATAAAATTTTAAAATGTAATAGAAATTAATTCCGCTGCTTGCTGAACTGAGAATAATCTTGAAATCGAATTAGCACATTAAGCGACAAGCCCGTTTTGGCCTTCTTTCCGTTTAGAGCGGGATATGCTGGCTGACGGAGTTCTGCGTAAAATTTGATAAAAGATAGATTTAATACAAAAATATGATTTTTTTAAATTGTATATCCTCAGTCAATAG